TCCATCCTTTCATTTTAAAACTCTCTCCCCCTCCTTCCCCACCAGAGCAAATCCCTGTAAGAAGTAGACCTGCCAGTCAGAAGTAAGAAGCAGCACAAGGAATGACTATTAAATTAAACCCATAGCTGTTCTATCAGGTTATAGACCAAAGGACATTTTGACTTTGGGAACAACCCACTGATAACACCATTACTGCAAAAAGGCAAGACATGTATAATAGTTAGTTTCTGGAAAAGGACTAATCCATGAACATTAGTGGCACTAAGCCGTAAAATATGGGAAATATTTGAATTGGAAACAATGACAGACAGCCTTACAGCAGAATCTGTTGGATGTTATAGTTACCATTTTGGGTAATGAGACCTTCACCAAACACAAATGGGTCTTTTAGATGTAACTAATGAAGTGCATGAGTAAGTACAGGTATGTTAATAGTTAATATATCTTACAGCTGTGACTAGGTCTGTAAACAAATAGAAAATTAAATTAGTAGGCTGTGCAGCACTGGCATTACAAAATGAAGCACTATAATATCATTATACTACCAGTCTGGTCCAGTCTGAAATTCAAAACTCAGTACATCTGGTAGACTGGTCCTCCTAAATTTTTTGCCCCTCCCAACAAAACTATCCTACCTTTCTTGCAACCCCACAGATTTAACTGTTAGAGTTGTTGGATCTGTCTCTGCTTTGATGTCCATTACGCAGTCAAAGACCGGTGTTTCAGGTACTGGATCCAGATCTAGAAAGTCATCTTCATTTTTATCCTCTGTCCACTCTGAGTATGTGAAGGAAGGCTGGCGGCTCACAGACTGGCGCCTATCCTCTGGTAGTGGAAAGGCAGGGTCCCGTTGGGCTTTCAGGAGATGCCAGATCTGGAGGAAATAGACATTTTAAGACATTCTGTATACTATTTGAACTTCTGTGCATTCTGAAGTATCCACCTTTCCGGTAATAATCCCATAGACTGTACTCCAGTATAATGGAACTGCACTAAAAAGAACAGGAAGTCCCATAAAGGAGTGACCTTCCTGCACACATTACAGGAGCACATTCCTGTGGTAACACTGCTTTCTGATACAGGGGGGTCCATGGAGCCCAACAGGTTTCATTCGGGAATACAGTGGAAGCATCCTATGCTTGTGACTACTGCATGAAAGCCAATGTGAAATCGCTGTCCTTTTGTTTAAATAATCAGCTTTCACAGACTGCTAACAACATCAAATCTTCTGGGTTATTCCACATTTTCTGACCTTTTCCTGATTCAGAGGCCATCCACATAGAATTCAGTTAGGTTTAATACAGGTAAAAGCCAGTTTCCCAAATAGCAAAGCTTTGGTGATCTAGTGCTGTATCCCAAATTCATCTCTAAACCAACACTTAAATTTTAAGAAACCCCCATTTTACACAAAGACGTCCTTTAAGAGTTTCAGAAAACTTGTGCAGTCTTCAGTCAGCCATAAATCCCATTTAATCTTTTGATCTACAGAAGATAAAGTATAATACATGATGTGAAATAATGTTGTGTTAAATTAAATAAACATGTAGGGTAAAACTTAAAGGGTCAAAATGACCCAAATCTAAAAAAACACTGAGTCACAGATTTTAAGGACAGAAGGGATTTTTTAATGTGAACTTCTCTGTAACACAGGCCCAAGACTTCAACTAATAACAACTGCATCAAGTTCATTCCTACAAGCCACAGTCACCAATGCGAAGGCATTAATTGCTAATCACATATTTTGTTAATGTAACCTCACTGCTCCTAAATAAAGTCTATGGCTCAGGCAATTAGTTCCCCCCAGTGCACTGACTTTCAGTGGAATTTAGGTGCCAAGTACATGGAGTTGCACAGACACTGTGGCACACTGTACAGCATAGAAACATTATAATGGACGGTTTGCACTCTGAAACAGGCCTCAGTTGAAAAGTTTCAGTCCAGATATGAACCTTGCCACAGGTCTGAGGCATTAGGATTGAGTGTTTGGGGCTGAGTTTATCTGTATGGATAAGACAAGAAGCAATGTCACTCAAGCTCATTTGGGAAATTCTTGAGTGTCTTCCGACATGCCAAGCATCTTTACCTCACTTTTGAGATGAGCAGGATCACTCAGCATCTTGCAGGATAAAACCTTTGTTGTGTTTTTAATATAATTTTAAAGGGACACAGTCAAATTTAAAAGCCATGTAATATACAAGAGTCAAGTCTATTTCCCTACATTAATACAAAACCTAGAATATGAAGATTTCAAAAGCCATTTTGTTTTCCCTCTGAGCAGTCATCCTTCTTGCATTTCTCTCAGCCTGAACAATGAAAATGAATGAAGCAAGTTGTTGCTTCTGTTTGCATCCGGCTTCAACATGGGGTTCTCAGGAGCCAGCAGAACACTTCAATACTTGATTAAAAGACATTGCAAGAATGTGGGGGTGGGAGTGGGGGGGATGACCAATATTGTTTAAACAAATCTGTTGACATTGTAATTACCAAAAACCAGGGAAGTGTGTTACTTACTATTGGCTTTATGCTTCATAACAATTTGGGGCCAAATTTGAACTAAGAGTGTTCTTTTAAATTGGGCTTGAGGGATGATTAGCCAGAAGATTAAAGATCTGAGTCCATTATTATTTCCATAATTCTAGCTCTGGTACATACATGAGTCCCATTACTGTAATGTCTGAATTCTTCACACTAGGGAACGTAGTTCTCCTCTTGTGAGGTACAGAGGAGGTATTATTATTATAATTCACCCCTATGCAGAGGGCAGAGCACAACACCCCTGCACCACTTAAACACTATGACTCCTTTGCAGTGTTTGCTGGCCACACTGGGTGTGCTTGCCAGTGATTTAGTAGGTTGAAAATCTGAAGGATTATAGAACTTGTCTGTGAAACAAGGGAGCTTTTCTCTAGGCTGTAGGTGACGGGGGAGTTAAGAATCACCAGGAGGATCAGGGAAATTAATTTATCCTTTAAATTAAAGAAATGATAAATAAATAAATAAATAAATAAATAAATAATAGGTGAATTAAATAGGCAGCTTTGAAACTAGCAGCTCCAGGATCTGGGACAGAATTCAATAAACTGATTCAACATAAATTAGTGAAGTCTGATACTACATCCATCCAGGTTTATCTTAAACTGGTTTTGGCCATTTTGAAAGTGGTTTATATGCGCTGAACTTCTGTTGTGTTACAGGTTTGAACCAGTTTCCAATCACTTCTATCAGTTAACGTGTAATTCCTGTCCCTGGCCCAGGTGGTCAGTGCTAAAGAGGCTTTGCGCTGACTCTTGGTGAAGTGGTAAATGTCTAGCCAAAAGCTGTCCCTTATGTGAGGAAGGATCCAGTGCATCCCTCAAAAAGCCTCTCTCTCTATGCTAGCATTGCTATACATCAATGGCCAAGAACCCGTGTTCTATCACCCGGCATCACAAACTGGGTTAAGATTATGCAACAAATACAGGGTTAGGAATCCTCCAGTCTTTGGGGTAGAGCTGGGGTCTGGATTTCAGTCTGTCTTTAACACACATACATACAGTTCGTGGGGGCTTAACCTCAAGGTGTCATCTGAATGGCACCCAAGGGTCCAGCACTAAGAAAAGTGAGGGACTGACTCAGCCTTGTTTCCAGACAGCCTAGGTTGTAGCAATTTTTCTACAGTCTAGTGGGTGCAAAGGGGCAGTGGGACAGGTATGAGTATCCTCCCTGTGAGGAACACCTCTAGTACAAGCAAGTCAGCACGCTAAGTACAGAGTGAATTTCCCCAACTCCTTCCTGCCTCCACAAAGAACAGGGAGTATATGAAGTTAATGTGGGCTGGAGGAGGAAATGCTGGACTATGAGCAAGAGGAGGCATGTCAGGGGCACATTAGCACAATGATATTGTACCTGCAATGGTCCTTAGAGACCAGTGAAACAAAAGCATAGGTCAGATTGGTCACTTAATAAGCTGCTTCCGTTTGGTCTCTTATTGTACTGGGACAACAGTGGAAAGGATTTTCTTTTGATGAAAGGTAATTTCATCATAAATGCACCCATATGCCCAGAAGATATCCCCTTCTAGCCTGTTCTCTATGCAGATCCTTTTCCATGCAGCAACACAATTAAAGAACCACAAGGAACAATTGAAAGAAGCTTGTCTGAGATGAGCTGGGGTAAAAAAAATACAGAGAAACCTGTTTGTGAAATAGCACATTATACTACAGCTTAGGGCTCTAGAAACCCTGCCAAAGCCCATTGTTTGCAATTATTTTCCAATTTCTTGCTAAGTAAAATTATTATTTACACCATATTGTTTTGCAAATGCCTACAACAGCAGATGTTTTCAGCCTGTAAATCCCACGTGACCAAGCATGAGAAGGAGTTGCAGGGGATAGAGAGGCTCTGTGACCTCTATGTTTGTGGAGCACACTCTGCTTCTAGTGAAATTCATGGTTATGCAGTAACTATGCACTGCCTGAGTGCCTGGTAACTGAAAACAAATTACAATCTATGGCCCCTAGAAAACTTGATTAAAAGGGAATTATGTTATAATGCTGCATTGTTATACAAAAGTTTCAGAATGTTTCAGTGTTTCAAATGACTGGAATAGGTCAAATCTGTTCTCTTCGCTAAAGTATAAACCAGGGGTAGGCAACGTTTTTTGGCTGGACTGCCGAAAAAACCACAACGTCTACCTTGGAAGTGCCAGAGTGCAGGCATGCCAGAAAAACAAAATGAGGGCGGGGAGGTACATGGCAGGGCGCACTGCATACTAGTATACTTAATAATTATAAATGTTGCCTTTGTCATTGTGTATTCCTTTTTTGTTGAGCATGCTGTAATGAGAGAGAGAGAGAAAAAAGAGAAATAAGAGAAAGAGGAGAGCGAGAAAGAAAAAGGAGAGCAGAGAGAGAACCAGACACACGCACACAGAGAACCAGAACACACCCAGAACAGACACATGCACACAAACATCCACACAGACACACAGAACCAGACAAACACACAGAACTAGGTGCGCGGGCACACAGAGCCAGGCTCCTGGGCCACTGGACAAAGTCTGGCCCAACAATGCCCTGGTCCTGCCCAAGCCCCTGTGCTTCCTTGGGGAGCCAGCCCCCCGGCTGCAGCACAGCTGGCTGAGGCCCTGGCTTGGAGCTCGCCCATCAGCCCAACCACCTACCCACCCCGCACAGCTAAGCCTGCAAAGGTGTGGCACTCCTGGCAAGGAGCAGTGCCAGCCTCATCCTAGGGGCTGGGCTCCAAGTGGGTGGGAGTCAGGCGGGTTCAAGTGCCGAGCCAGCGCCACTTGCAGCCAGGAGACTGCAAACAGCTGCTCCAGGCTCCAGCATCAGTTCCATACCAGCAGGTGCACACGCGCCTCGGAGCAGATGGTGGGGATAGGGCCTGAAGCAGCACAGCCCTCCTGCTGTCTGCTCTGAGGTGCACATGCAGTCACTGTCAGCATGGAGCTGATGACGGGGTTGTAGAGCTTGCTGCAGCTGCCCAGAGCCCAGGCTGGCTACAAAGAGCTGTGCCAGGCTCCAGAGCCCAGTCATCACCTCTGTGCCAGCAGCAGGGGAGAGGCTGGGGTTGCGCTGCCTCAGGTCCCTCACCCACTGTCCACTCCGAGGTGCACATGCACCAGCCAGTATTGAGCTAATGCCAGAGCAGATGCTTGCAGCCTCCTGGCTGCAACTGGCCCAGGCTCTGCATAGCTGCTGCCAGCCACGGAGCCCAGTTTGCTTGCAGCAGGGCTTGCAGCTGCCCAGCTACCTGCTGGAAACAGCCCGTGGCTGGCAGCAGCTGCCAAGAGCCCAGGCTGGTAGTGGTGTGCCGAGCAAAATGGCCTCACGTGCTGTGCTCAGCACACGTGCTGGGAGTTGCTGACTCCTGGTATAAACTCTACTCAATTGAATGGAGCCACTTCTGAATCACAAGAGTAAATCAGTGGTTCACAATATTTTTAGATTTGAGACACCCCTCAGAAAATGCCAGTTCATAGTTTTGACCTGGTTTTTTATTACAGAAAAATAACAGAGTAGGTCTCCTGTTGCAAAGGACTCAGAGAGACCACAGTAGGTCAGAAGGATTTTAATGCTATGAATTCATAGGAATTCATTCCTATTTAAAGTCTCTGGCTTTATCTTGTGAATCATGTTTGCACAGCACATCTAACAGTGATAACATTGTGTGGCACCCTGCAGGACCGTGGTTGAGCATCATGGGAGTAAACGAACAAGATGGGGGTTTTCGTGAACTTTCACTAAAACCTAACCCATGTGACAAACACAACTTCACGATAAACCAGTTCCACAATATTTCAACACAGCTACAGATTAGGATTTGTAAGGAAATCACAGCCCTACTTATTCTGGTTTATAGTGTGGAATGTTTCACTGTGACAGATCCTAAAATTCATACAGTTCATCGAGGATATGAATCCCGTTCTTGTACTTTAATACTTGCAATTACAAAACTCATCAGAAATGTATTAATTTGATTGCACAATGCACCTGGTGAAAGAACAGCAGCATCAGCAAGGTAGAAAACTGCATAGCTAGGATAACCTCACTGCCCACATTAATGATAATAATAATGGAGGCATTAATACTAATTACCATGCTTTGTGAATGGCTTTAAAAAATACATTCAGCTCAATACATTAAGCAGAAGCCTCTGCCAGCATACTGCCCCTGAGTGAACTCAACTATGGTACACACTGCATTATGATGCTTACTCACTCAAATTACATGTATGTTAACTATTGCTATTTCCTGCCTGCCAGAAGGTACATTGCATATGGCAGAATATGAAGCCACATTCTCCCAATATTTCCATATTTCATGGCTATGTTTTCTCTATTTTCTTTCCCTCTCTCCCACATGAAAACGTACTGGGATCTTGCACCCTGGTGATGTGTGTACCACAATGAGATTTTTCCACAAATTAAAAAGCATTTCTCCTGCATTTCCCAGGCATCATTCGTCTTCATGCCAGCTACAGAGCCCAGGAAGAAGGCACAATGCATTCTCCCTCCCTCCCTGATGGCTGAGAGCTAACATAGTAGAATTATACTACTGATTTTGCTATGCAGGTAGGCCTTGGCCTACACATGCTTATGTCTTAATTCCCAAAATACTTCAGAGCTGCGGGCTGAATCCTGTCGCCACTACAGTCAATGGGTGCCTTACAATCAACTCCTATGGCAGTAAGATTAGCTCTTTTCTTCGCTGGACTCCATCGTTTCTATTCCATGTAAGAATATTCTCCTCTTGTGGGTGGGAGAAATAAAAGTCTCTCATGAATCACCAATTCATCAAGGAAAATGAATAGGGGGAAAATGCAGTCATCACTTTGCTACATAAAGCATGCAGTAATTATGTGGAAATAGCCCTGAAGTTATTACTTCAAAATCAACAACTCATAGTAAATGAGACACCTTATAAAAACTTATGGTAAGAAGGTGTGTATACGTTTAGCATTGTTCAGTAACGGCACTGAATTTTTCATATTGTGGCTTACCAGAGCTCCTACGAGTAACAGTCCTAAAGAAATTAAAGATAGCAGGAAATATGACATCACAGAACTCCCATCTCTTGTCAGATCCTGTGAAACAGTAGAAATGACAATAACTGACACTGCATTTTAAAGGACGTGATAGAACAGTAAGTGTGAGTGACTGCACATACTGTTCTGCTAATCATTTTGTATTCATTACTGGATTTCCCATATAGATAGCTTTTGTCTGCAGAGATGGCTCTCAAACCATCTGGATCTGAAATCCAAAACCAGATCTATCTCCAGACTTTGCAGCTAGGCTTTGCTATCATGGGTCCCTTCTGAAATGCTGGCTCCTCTTCCTCAACCCATAAGTCCTTGAAATCCATAACCAGATCCACATCTTGATTTTGAAATCCATAACCGGATCACATAACCAGACCACATCTTGATTTTGCAGCTTATGCTCATTTTTCATTTACACAAGCGGTACAATTCTATCCCTCTGAAGAGGGTATAAGTAGTACATAGGTACATAGACCTTGTGCTATCTCCTCTGCATAGGGATAAAGTTCACCCAAAGAGAACAGCTTTCATTTTACTCACTTGACTGAGTATTCTTAATAAATGGCATTTTCCTTGGCATTGTGCAAATGGCACAAATATTTCCCATTACTGTATTTCTTTAGCACAGACTCTATGATTCAGAAACTCTGACTTTTGTTTTTATTGTTGCTGTTGTTTTATGCAATACAGGGAGTGTTGTGACTGTTTGCAGCAACCTGAGTGAAAGTCATGCTGATGTATCCCTCATGTCCTATTGGAGGTTACACATGGTTCACACATGGCCACTGTGCTGGCCCTTTATGCAAGGAGTGAATTTTACTCCATCTGATAGTCAAGTATGTGAGCAAAATCCCATTAACTAAATGAGGCAAGGAATATGCTCTGGAATTAGCTCATATAACCATCTGAAGACAAATATAGTACTCTAATAAGTAATAATCAATTACGTACATGAACATCTGTGTGCATACAAATATACAAAGCCAGAACCGGTTCTATTTTTGGCTAGGTGCTGTTCCATGTATTAGACCCTTAAATGGACTTAGAAGTCTAAATGTAATCCCGTTCCATCCTGCTTGAGTCCCTGAAAAGCCATCAATACGTCTACATTTGTTAAGTGATTTCTTCTGAACCTTAAGACTAAGACTACACAAAGCAGGAAGACCTACTCCCCTTTTGTGCTGAGGAGTTTTCAATGACTTGAGTGGGGTGGAATAGGATTGCACTTAGATGTCTAAATCCACGTAGGCTCCTAAATGTTAGAATAGGTGTCTAAGCGCCTATTCCATACTGCCCAACTCACTGAAAAATTTCTAATGTCAAAGGCTGGTGGGTCGTCCTCTACACTGCTTTCTGTGATTTAGCTTTATGGCTAAAATGAAGTCATGTTACAAAAGCAGATATTTTAATGTTTTTTCAGACTTCAGGAGGGTGGAAGAGAATGTCACATGAACACCTGTAAGTGCCCTGTTGCTGCCTGACAGGTGGGACAGGATCTGACTTATGGTTTCACTGTTTTTCATTCTAATTATCTCCCTCCTCCACGCTGAGCCAGCATGAAGCTCGCTTTTATTCAAATACTCCTAAGTTTGGACATTTCCATGAGAGGTGATCCATCTGTGACTTGACCCATAGCAACAAAATGCAGATAATGTGAGTGCCTCCCACTATATGAGGGGCTTTGATTATGCGTAATGAATCCAACTGAGAAAAGTCAAATAAGACATACTTCTTGATAATAAATAAAAGGAGGGGTAATATACATTGCTTAGCAAACCCAGAAAGCAGTCTCAAAGTGTACTTTAACCACATGATGCAGAGAGACTAATTCCCTATACGTACTGCCCACCCACTCCCAGAGAGGCTATGTGCTGTGAGTCCAAACTCCCACCTGATAAACATCTATGACCTGATTTTTAAAGGATCTAGTACCCAAAGCCCTCATTTAACAAACACTCTATTTATTTCTTTAAAAAATTACACTAGTAGAACTACAACTATAACTCATCACATTAAGTCACACTGGTAGAAAGTCCATATTACATTGGTAAAACACATTGGGGTTTTCACACTTGGGTAGCTTTATACCAGTGCAATTTTTTTTTAAATATAGACACAGCTGGAAACAACTTTAAAAAAAGAAAATCAGGAAGAGGCAAGTCTTTTTATGGGTGATGGCTACAACATCACTCTAACACTACTTAAAAAAATCAGGACATTTACATTTTGGTTATGATGTGGCTAGTGATTTAAAGCACATTTGTAGAGAAACTGCAAGTCAGTTATACCCATAGTCTCCAGAGTGTTGCCATGGATATAACCAAGGCCAGAGTTTGGTCCACTTCTGAAACTAGTCTGGTGACCCTTATGTGGTCTTGGCAGCTTCTGAAGAATCTAAGCTTTTTAATTGCCATCATAAATTGAGTTCTGGCTTGTCCCTGTGAAGTAAATCTTATGGATTTGATTCTCTACTGCCTTGCTTCTTGTGCTGTCATTAACACTTTTCAAATAGATATAAAAACTCTATCACACTGATTTCATCACTGAATCATAGAAAACCAAAATGGATTTTTAAAGATTAATTCTCTGTGTATTTGTTTCCAGAGAAGTTTTTCTCCATTCCCCAGCAGATGCATAGCAGAGAATTAACAACATGCTATCTAGTATGTGTTTTATACATTTAATCCAAGAAAATACCAAAAAATATTCCTGAAGCCTACTGACCTTAGTCTTCTACTTAATAGAGAGGAATAAATGAACTTACCACCCCTGGATTTGACATGAACTGTCCAAATGGCATAAGCAAGTATGACATTAGGTCAAAGGCATTCTGAGCTGTTGGGAATGTCCTGTAACCGTTGTACCATAACATCATGCAGAGAAGCTGTGCAATCAATCAGATAATACATAATGAGCATTCCTCATTAGACAAACATTCATTTTCATTTCAAGACTGCATAATTAACTAATTTAGTTCTCATTGCTTTTATGCTGATCATCATTTTCCCTTTAAGAAGTCAGGTATTTTCTATGCTGCAGCTTAACTAGGATACAAAGACAGAGGCCAGATGCTTAGCTGATGTAAATCAGTCTAGCACCACTGAGTTAACTGGAGTCTTACGAATTTACATCAGCAGAGGGTCTGCCCCAGAGAATCTATAAAAGGCAACACTATAAGGGATACCCTTTGGTTTCTGAACCTTTCATGGGGTTATTAATGTACACATCATGCTGCCACTCTTGCAAACAGCTATATCCATCCAGTGGAGCACATACTAGACAAAAAGACATACATGCGTGTGTGTAGACACAAAAAACATTCCATTTTAACACTCAGGGATGACACGTGCAACATGGGTGACACACACTCATAATAAAGCAAGTAAATTAAGAATATTAAAAGCTGCCTGATCTCCATGGGCTTTCCTTCTCCACTAAGAAGAGCAAACATTATCAGTCCTGGCCCACACACCACACATCAGAACTTTAACTCTACCCCATCATCCTTACTCCACACTCCATAACCAGAATACTTTCTCCAGTACTACCCATTGTGATATCTGCAATTGGTTGACTGGTAAAGGGGCATTTGCAGAGGAGCAGTTAAAGTGAAGGGTGCTTAGAAAGCTGGCATAGCCACAGGTCCAGTTGCAGTTGCAAAGGGTGGTTTGCAATGTATGGTAGTTGTGGAAATGACAAGAATACCACTGATTTCAACACAGCTATGCCAATATACACCAGCTGGGGTGCTGGCCCTCACAATGCATGGCTGGGAAAAATCCCAGCAACAAGGAAGTATTTAGAAATGAGGGTTTCATCTCTGAGCAAGCTACAAAGCACCTTACCAATATCTGTGAGAGGGCGAACAAGCACACGTTCCCTCCAGATTTGAGTGCAGTCCACCAGGCAGCCCACCCAGGCTGTGGGGTTCTCTGTGAGGCTTTTCGGGATTGTTCCTTTCCACTCTGCTGTCCTTGCGGTCCTTCAGTTTCATCCATTGACTCCATCGCTGCTGGCTTGGAAAGACCTTCAAATGCAAATGACAAGCACAGGGAATGAATAGCAGTGGAACCCTGCAGCCGTTGCAGAGACTGCGAGGACTATTATTTTTGCAAAGAGGTTGGTCGCCTCTCAGTTCTGCATCAGTAAGTGCAGCTCGAGATTCAAGCGTCACACTCTATTAGTGCGGCAGTATTCACCTGCCTTCGTCAGAAAAAGGACGTGTGGGAGGATAAATTATTTTCCCTTTATTTCTGGAGGTAGAGAACCTTGGCTTTGTTGTTAATAAATTCTCATTTACATTGCTGCATCTTTTTGTTGTATTTTCTTCTTCTTTTATGAAAAAGGAGCAGTTACTGAGTTCTACCACTGACTCTGCCACTCACAGGCTCTGTGACGTTAGGCAAGTCACTTCATCTCTCTCTTTGCCTTTGTTTCTTTTCTTTCCCCTTTGCCTGCCTTCTCTATATAAACTGTAAGCTCTCAAGGCAGTCTCTTTGGATCCGGAGGCACAAATCTTGGTTGGGGTCTCCCAACTCATAAACCCCAAGTAGATAATAATAGTAATAATAATAATAGCAGCAGCCTGTTTATGTCAAGGACTTCTGGCTTGGATTCTGCTCTCAGTACTGCTTAATGTTGCTGTAGCACCTTTAACTTCAATGGAGCTAAACTAATTTATGTCACTATCTGAGTGACTAGCCCTATATTAACAGCATTTTACACCTACTTTATATAGGTGTAAATGAATTCACAAGCTGTGAAGCAGTGGAAAAATCAGGTCTATTCAGTGAAATTACTCCTAATTTATACTGCTGAGAAGAGATTCTCTGAGACTGCCCATGAACAAGACCAGCTTCTTAAACCTGTCATACAACCATATACATACACACATGATAAGGGCCGCAGAAGAGCTATCATTGTGGCTTGCTTTTATAAGATTTAAACAGAACATTTCTTTTACTATTTATTTTTCTAATGGTCCAGGAATTGTCACCCTGGGTCCAATCCTCAGCTGTCACTAACTGGCCATGGCTCCACCAAGGTAGACAGCACAGTGTATTTATACCAGCTAAAGATGTGACCTAAAATTCAGCATAAGACTTTATAGAAGCAGCCTGTCTCCCTTCTCTAAATAAAGTAATGGAAGGATAGGCAGAAGCAGGAGTTCTTATTCCCATTTCTCTGCTTGTTCTTCTCCTCCTACACAAGGGAAGGCAGGGTGGAGCTCTTATGCTGTCTCTGCTTGAAAGAACAAGGTTTTTGGGTAGTGCTTCCAGCTTCCTACCAGGGTCTCAGCTTTCCTACCTCAGCACAGATTTCATTTGGGGATGAGGCTGCTAGGCCCCTGTACAGGGCACTCAGCATCTTCAATTGAAAGGCTGGGTGGAATCATTTGAAATGTACTTATCACCTACTTCTGGAGCGGCTCAGCCTTTCAGGGTTACTATTTTTCAAATGAGTTCTCAATAAATCTCCAGTCAATTTGTTCCATTTATGAGTATCACTATAAATGATGACAGAGAAAGGGAATTGCCTTGGCCAGAGGGCAGAGATGCTGTACTATAATTGACTCAGAACTACACAGGTTTTTATAAATCAGCTGTGCATTTCCATGAGATCTGATTGGTCATTGGCATCTCTTTTGCATATTCACTGTGCAGTTATTTCTCAAGAAGTGCACAGCACGCGCACACACACACATACACACACACACACACACACAGGCACACATTCATTCTAGTTGGCTGACTGCCATTATTAGCCCACCATGATTCAGTCCCATTGTTTTCATAATCTCTATTTCATTTTATAATAAAGAAACACCAATAAAATATGTAATATTACCACACTGACCAAGTAAAGGCTTGTGTATCTCGATTCAATCTTTGCAGGTTAGTCTAAGCTGTGTAGACTGAACTGATAAGCAAGTGAACAGACATTGATGCTGGAAATGTAGCCACATGCCTGCAGTGGCCCAACCCAGAAGCCTCCCTGCTTGGCTGGAGCAGACAGCTTGGGCCAAGCCCAAAGCTAGTCCACCCACTATTTTGAAAACAGTTTATGTGCACTGAACTTCTGTTGTGTTACAGATTTGAACCAGTTTCTGATCACTTATACTGGTTGATGTGCAGTTTCTGTCCCTAGCCAAGATTTATGGAATACAGTTGGTAGGATCATAGGAATTTGACCCCTAACACTATATATCCTCCAGGCTTCCAGTTAGTATCCCACAACCAACTCTAAAAATCACCAGGAATGTTCCTTGTCACCAAGAAATTGTGTTTGCTCCCCAGATACTTACCCAAGTGCAATAGCCTTGCACTGATACAGCTCTGTGCAGTGTGGACACAAGATTCAAAAGTGTAATTGCTAGTAGTGATGCTTATTGTGAAGGTTGTCTAAATGCTTTCAATATAAGCAGGGTGACCATACATCCCAGACTGGCTGGGACAGTACCGGATTTCTCAGGCCACCCTAGCATCCTGGCCAGTTTGTATAAATTGAAGCAAAAGTCCTGGATTCGGCTGCTGCAGGCAGAGGCTGTGGCTGCCTGCAGTGCCCAGGCTGGCTCATGCTGAGCACTGGATGGAGGCAGGGGAGTGGGCTGGGATGGCTGTCCGCTGCAGGCAGTGTCATGCCCTGCAGCTACGGCCGATGCCAGTGCCAATGCTCAGGCTGTGCATGGCGGTCTTGGTTGCCTGCTGGTGGCAGGGGGGAGGGGCCGCTCCCAGCCAGATCCAGGGTCTGTGCATGGGAGATGAAGGCCAGCCACAGGCCTCTGCATTGTCCCGCCCCACCCTCAGGGCTCCTGGGAGGCGTGGGGTCAGGGGTGTGTGTGTGTGTGTGTGTGTGTATGTGTGTGCCTGGGATTGGGGTGTATGTGCATGTGAGTGTGTGTATGCGTAAGTGGGATTGGGGATGTGCATGCACTGGCTCCCCCTGTCTCGGATTCCCTCACCTCATCCTGGATCCTCTTAACAATAATATGGTCTCCCTAACTATATGTTCCTCTTTTCAGCTGTGCCATCCTTTAGTAGTTTAAGCTGAAATTTCCCATGCTTGCAATCTACTTCAGGCTGTAAAACACTACAGTCATTTTCAAGAACAAGCTTAGAGAAAAAGATGGCTCCATCTATGGAGCAGGAATGTGACATTTAGCAGGGGAGTAATTATAAGGTCAGAAAGGTGACTTTGCTATCTTGGTAAAAATGCATTCAGATTTGACTGAATTATAAGTCTTGGCTTTCCTTTTGGATATGGACCATGTCAGTTTATTAAGGCTTGATCCTAAAATCTCCAAACATTTGTCTGCACTGACCATGTTCTAAAGATTCTTAATCTCTCTTAACCTGCACTGAGCAATGCACCTAGATCCTTCCTACAGCTCAGTTGCACTGACCACACTTTTAAGCCCCAGTGAGCAGCCTTTATGTTGGGCATTGAGCTAGAGCTCCAGCAATAACACAGCTAAAGCAACAGTGATTACCTTGGGCCTAACTTTGGATGTGCGTGCTGAGCTAGAAGCCAAGGGTCCACAAATTTCAGAATCACCTTTTCCGTGACAAGAGTTAGGAATTCTATGCATTTCACTACCCCTGTTATTTCAAAAACTCATACCCCTCTGCTTTAGAAAGAATGCAAGTATCATTTCTCTATTTCATAGAAGGAATAGCTGAGAGGTTGCACAAGGTCACTTCTTGCAAAATGGAAATGGAATGCTGACAGACCCAAGTTTAATCCACTCAGCTACACTGCCTTTCAGAATTAATGTGTAAAAGTTACATGCTTGACTCTGTCATCTCAAACCAAAGCAGTATATTCCTGTCTACAGCCAGGAATCCTGCTTTTAGCTGTTTTAACCTCATATGATAGAGGTCTAAAAGTCCCAGATTTAATCTTTGTTGATAACCTATGTGTAGAGCCAATATAGTTCCAGATGGTAGCCATTTATATTTTCCAGCTTGTTATCTAAAAACCTAGGAAGTTACATATGAAAAGTATGTACATATTTTAGTAATGGGTGTCTATACACATTAGAATGGGTTGCAGCAGACTTAATTTATTGAGTCTGCTCTGTGTTCTAATTAGATATATACTCTTCATTGCTGCAGAGTCACATGTATAAGCCCCCAGGGGTTTAAAAATAGTCACTGGGGTACTTTAACTAAAGCTGGTTGAATGAGTTTTAGTTAAAGTGTCCCGTGGTCATTTTTAAACATGCAGGGGCTTAATACATGTGACACTGAGGTGTTTTAATTAGAATGGCTCACTGGGAACCACTCTAAGTAAAATGACCCCCTGCCCATATCCCAGAGCATGTGTATGGGCACTCAAAATCAAGAATTCAAATGCTATAAAATGCCAGAATTAAGATCAACCACATGACCTTATTTGTCCATGACCTGGCATTGTGCATGTGAATTATGGTTTATGCTTTTTCTGTATAAAGGACTTGCACCAATTTAAAACACATCAATGCATACAAGCCAATATAAACCAGCTTTCAACTTATGAAAGAATGCCCTTTCAAAGTTCTGTACTGATGGAATTATATCAGTTCTAAAGCATATCTTGAATTAAACTGCTGTCAATGTGCAGCACTTGCGTGACAATTATTAATTAAATGGTTATTATGATTAATTAAAAGGTCCTTGCCTTATCCAGTGAAGAGGCTGGATAGTAAATGAGACAGAGCTGTAAAGTTAGAAAAGGTGTTCTCATGCAGTTATTCCAGTAGACAGGGACTCAGGAAAGCCGGATTTCACTCCAGGCTCTGGAAAAGACTTCCTGTGTAATGACAAGCAAGGCTATTATTATTATGTATGCATAGACGGGAAATGAATTAAAGTTGCATGGGCAGTATAAATTCTGGCCTATTTTAATTACTGAATGCTTGATTTCGAGGTCATAACGTTCTTTTACCATAGCTGTTTGTATTCAATGTTTGCATAAGATGCTTCACCAAAACTTAATATTTTAAGTTGGCTCATTTAGGCGGATGTCAGCCATCATCCTCAATTCTGGGTCACAGATTCTGGACCACAAACCATAAGGTGCTTCTTCACTACCATAGGATTATGCTCACTACCAAACTTCTTTGGGTTAAAAATATGTTTTAAGTCACTAATACCATTATGAGCTCTTTAACACTGGTAACAAATAGTTTGCTTAAAATGGCATAATAAGCCAAGTATTTTCTATTGCTGCAATCCAAACTACCATCCTTGCAGTTTAGAAAAAAGGGGAATTGCCAGATAGGATAAGACCAATGGTCCATCTGGTCCAGCATCCTGCCTAAAACTGGCTACCAGCAAAAGAAGCTGCAGAGGAAGACGCAACTCTAGAATGTGCCACTATAGAATAATCCACTTTTAGGGGATGGTTCTTCCTACGTCAGTCAGTGTTTGACATAGGCCCCTAAGCCCATATAACCCCAACATTTCATTACTGTTCTCCTTGAGATTTGTCTCTCTCTTTGTCCCCCTCTTGCTTCATGTGGATAAATGTATAGATAAACAGGGAGATGGTAGGTGAAAGAAAAGAGAAAGATAAATTAAATCTATTCTTAGGAAGAGACATACTGTAGAGCACTAGATTCCTGACTGCATAACAAAAGGACAGCTACAGCAATGATGAGTAAGATAATGATGCCTTAGAGCAACAAACATATGTGCCATGATTGAGAGGATAAATGTTTCAATTGTACAGTATTATGCTTATGCTGCTGTGCACAAGACAGCGGGGAACTCCCAGGGTCTGACTTATTCATTTTTTACATTAATGGTTTCAGTGGAAGGAACACAAACCCTCCAGAGCCAAACATGCTGCAGACACCTTGTGCCTTCTTTCTGTGGATGGAGTCAAGAGATTTATGTAACTCTACATATACTCGGATTTTGAGATATGCATTAGGGACAAAGATCTTCCCCATCCAAAGTCTGCATAATGATGAAATAAAATGCCCTATATCCATAAAAACATAAGCAGCTCTAACCAGGGGGAGGTGAACAGGCAAAGAATCAGAAGTAGGTATGGCTCTGTGGGGCAGTAGGAGGATGACACTGTTTAGGGAGCAAGTAATTCTCTCCCTCTCACCTGAAACACAATCAGCAAAGGAAAGTGGGACAATTAGCCCATGAGCCAGTCGTTCACCTTGAAAAAATGTATCTCTTCACTCTGGTGGGCTTGCGGGTGGGAGGTGGGGAGGAGTAAAACATAAGAGGGGGACACCTGCCTTATTGCATATCATACACAGCTTTCTGTGTAGTAAATGCCTTCATCCCTGTCTCCCCCTTTTCCCAAGAAAATGACTGAGGTTGGTATCAGACAGCTCAGCAATCTTAATGAAATGTCTTTACATCTGACCTTTATAAAATGGGAAGGTCCTTACACATTTGTTATAAATGGCAGATGTCTTGTTGCTGTTATCACACATAGATCTGATTGACCATCCAAAAAAGATCACTTTCTCTCCATGCTTTTTGTTCAAGATCTAACAGGTCTTGTCAAGGAGTGGGAACACTGTTCTTGGCTTGAGAACACATCTACGACTCCTTCAGCTATTTGCAGGTCTTCCATATGCTACTTATCACAATGCAGCATAAGGTACTTCCATGCAACCTCATCAGGGTCCCAGTATCTCTCTCATTGATTTGCTGTATTTAAAGCAGTCTGACATGCTGCAAGTAGCTGGATAAAAAGGCTGGACAAGGGAACAAGGCTAGAGGTCTGGTTCAGAAAATGTAGTAGAATGCGAAGTGACTTATGCAATTCAGAACCATTACAATAAGAATCAGACGGTGGGAAAGGGGATGAGTTATGCAGAGTTAAATGAGCTCTTGACGCAACATTTCAAACTTTCTCTGGATTGAGCCCAAACTTTTAACTTATGTGTTCAGTATGTCCTTCACCAGTAACAGGAAACCATCAAGAGGCCTGCTTCAAAAGCAGGAAATGACTTGTATAAGTCCACACATCCCCACTTGTGCACAGCTATGCTCTCTAAGTCACTGAAGCAATTCTAAAATCAGTTTGCTATTAAAGTGGAAGTCAATGGAACTCTCCCAAGACTCCTTTGTGTGAGTTAAAATTGTAGCTATATCCTTTGTTCCACTTGGAGCCTAAACAAAAGATGATGGTGGGGTTTATAGAAGAAATAAAATATGACTTAATGATAATTAATTCAAACAAGATGCTTTGACTGTGGTCTCTGTCATACAGCAGATAAAAAGAAAGCTCTCCAAAAATGAACCAGTTTCTACACCTGGGACCTGATTCTCAGAGATGCAGAGCCTCTGAAAATTGTTATTTAATTTAATATTAAAATAAATTTATTTTTATGCTCTCCTGACATTTTCAGTTTTCAATAATAATTCACATTTGCTATGACAATATTTATAGGCAGCCCAGAAGCTGGAAGTGGGGGAAGAAGATGCTCTGGTTAGCCAAGTGGAAAATATAATAGAAACTTACAGCACCCCAAGTGACTGCTTGAGGTGCCAAGAAATGCACATTAGCTGAAGGTTTCTGCTAAAATTATCACAACTGAAAAAGATAACAAGGCTGAGATATTGTCTACCTCTTGGAGACGAACGCAGCAGTTCGTAACTTTCAGAGCCACTGTTTCAGGCTCGCAGCAGGCTCTGAAAGATCTAATTTCATCTGTCTCAGTTCAGTTCCATTCCCCTTTTCCAAATATCTACACCACCAGAAAGGGCTAGGAGGACGCTATTTTTTTAAATAAGAGCTCAGATCTTGGGATACAAATCAGCAGCAAGGGATCAATTGCACAGCACGTTTTTCAGCTACAACACGTTGAGGCTATAAATATAAGACTTTAACGTAAATACAGCCAACCATATCAAGTGCCTACTTACCTCTTCTTCAGCTTATTGTTGAAGAAATATCTGCTTCGCTCCTCCCTTCTGAAAGAATAAACATACAGCTTGTTAGCTTGAGAAAATAAAACTTTTTTTGTATAGTTGCAAAAATACTTACCTGAGAACTGCAAAAAACAAGAAACGAAAGGCAAAAAGTAGCTAGCAACCCAGAAATTCTTGTGGATGAGCTTAAACAGACTCTTTTGCTCTTCCCTGTCACATATTAGTGGCAGTTAGGAAGAAGCTAAGAAATGGCCCTGACCACAGTTTATAGACTATGGAAATGGTGCAGTGATGGGAACCACAGATGATTTTTATGACGGTGTTGTTGAAAGAGCATCCTGGGTGAGCATTATCAGTGAGTAAGAGCAGGAACAGACATAAGATATGGATCCACTTCTTAAGCCCATGAATGCTAGAAGTTGTGACTATTGCTTCAGTCCATATCTAATTACCAGGAAGGAAAAACAAAGCAAAAACCAATACACCATACTGAGGGAAAACACTGTGAAGCCATTTAATGCCAGATTAAAAGCAACATGAAAAGTGAAATAACAATAAGGGGCTCTTGTATTTTAAAAAGCTGTTCATTCTGAGGGAGTCCAAATAATTTTTACAATCTATGGCTTTCAGTAGGAAATGTACATATGTATCTGAAAGAACTATTCAATTATTCTAGTGTTTATGTCATAGGAATCACTCTCTCCACTCAGTGAACTACAACCACTTATGGGGTGAAACTTGGCTCATGATCAATTGTTTAGGAAAATCCTCACCCCCCAAAAAAACCACAAACAAACAAACAAAACCAAAACCAATCCAACATTTTTAGCAAGACATAGTGGTTGCAGAGGTTAAAGGTAAAAAAGGACATTAGACTTGAAAATACCAACAGTACCTGCTGGTAGCATTCTTATTCTCTTCTTGTTTAATTCTTTATCTGTCGTTCTTTATCCAGCTAATCAAGTTTACCGATATTCTGTTCCATCTCCTCCCTAACCCACCTGCCACTCCTCCGCTTTCCACACAGGAAGCAGCAAAGAGGGAGCTGGATACTAGATGAATGGGAGGCAGCATTTCAGACAGCAGGATTCTAGTAATAGGTGTCACTGTGCTGCCAGTCCATTAATGGTATGTTAATGAATTATCATTGTCATCATCACCACCATCATTATTATTGCAGTAATGCCCTGGGGTCTGAGTCAGGATCAAGGTCTTAGCATGCTAGGTGCTATACAGTTACTACGCATATGAAGTCACAGTCTTTGCTCTAAAAAGCATACATTTTAATATGTCCAGGGACTAGTGGTAGCATAATGCAGCACCTGGATTTTCCAGTTGAGATCAGGCCCCGTGGCACTAGGTGCTCTACAAATGTATAGTAAGAGATGGCCTCTTCCATGAACTGACTGCAGTCTAATTAGACAACAAAAGTATTATTTTCTGTTTCACAAATGGGAAACTGAAGTCTGGAGAGAGTAAGTGGCTTGCCCAGAGCTCCACGGGAAGACTGTGAGAAGCCAGGCACTGAATCAACCTCTCCTGAGTAGCAGTCTAGCTCCTCAAGCACAAGACTGATCCTCTTGTCCTCTATCAAAGGAAATTTAGATAATCCACTTTTTTGAAACACTTCAGTGTTTCTTCTCTCTATTAAAACACATTGCTTTAAAAAACAAACACAGCTCCAGTTCTCCACTGGTGGGCTGTGCAGTCCCAACCAGAACGGCCTCTTCCAATCTCTGGGGGAATGAGAGCCTTGTGCCAAAGTGTGTGAGGAGACTAGTTGACTTTATACTCAGCAGTTCCCTGCTGAATGCTGAGTCATACATTCCCTCTGTGTTAATTTTCACACTGCTCCCACTCAGTCCACCTGCCACTTCATCTGGGATGGGTGGGAGGGGAGAAAAAGAGGTGAAGTCAGAAGAAATGTTCACATTCATCCAGGCCCATTCTTATGATATGTAGGGTCCGAAGCAAGAACAAGATCACAAGTTGCCAGGAAGGGATTGAAATATGAAATATCAGTTGGCAAGGAAAATTGCCTCCTCCTCATCTCCCACTGTCGGTGAACGAGACTGGCCAGCCAGTATTTGCAAGCCTGAGCCAATTCACAACCAGTCATCTGTGTTGCTAGATCTTGAAGACTTGTTCTTTGCATTAATTTCAGTGACCTTGGAATCAAGCCCTGAGACGGTTCATGTTTTCTATGGACTATTAGAACATCCCAGGCATGTTCTTGCTGCCATCCAAAATGTTTTACGCTACCTCCTAGTAACAGAGTAGTGCTGCATAGAGAGATGGCCTGATGATGGGCTAAAACATAATCACATGAAGTAAAACACTGAAGTACCCCGACCCCTTCTGTTACATAAGGAAAAAAAAGACAATCCAAAAAGTCGAAAACAATCTGAAGAGGCATGATAGAAATGACACTCGTTTCTTACTGCTCCCATGAAAACTGAGGATGAATTACCTGCTGTTTGTGTATTGGTATGCAGTTCTAGTATGAAGACAGCATCCTACGATTTTAAATGAATATTTATCATTATTATTTGAATTACGATAGCACTTAGGGCTTTTATAGGCATACATTTGTCTGCTCCGATGCGCCAGAGATCTGGCGGGCTCTAACGCACCAGAGATCATGAGGACAGAAACTACCTACTGATGTGTGGTAAAGCCCTACCCTCTTTTACCTTGGAATAAATAGTGTGTGCCTGCTCTTAGTTATATATAGTAATTATATCACCTATGTTATTGTAGTACCAGGCCTCAGCATGGAGGATATATTTATGTTTGCAACACCTGTGTGAGGTAGGGAAATGGGGGCTGATGCACCGAGAGATAAAATGAGCTCTGCAAAGTAGCCTCAACAGAATGGGGTGAAACACAGGATTGAGGTCTACTCTCCCAGCTCCCAGAGTAATGTTATAACCACTGGAGATAACTACAGCTGCCCCACCTCAAATATAATGCCATGGCTCTGGTTTGGGGGATGCAAAGTGCAGGCAGCCTGGTTGGTTGCAGCCTGTGAGTACAGGACTGTCACGAGACTCCTCTGCCGATTATCACACCCTGCGGACAATGGAAAATTCCTAAGGTGGTTTGCTTGCTCTAGTAATACCCTTCTCCATCTCTGCATTTTGCTGTACTATCAGTGTAACCACAGGAGGTACCAGCTTATTTACCTATGTTGGTTCTATGGGTTGGCACCAGGTGGACAGGATTCAGCCAATGGGCCGTACTTTGAGCACTGCAACACTAAGTGAAAGTCAAGGTCATTATAATGGGCAAAGCCTTCTTAA